AAACGCTGACGCTGTCTCCATTTCCAATTGAATGCACATTTTCATAAAAAAGCTTATTGCTTACTGCTCTATAAAGTGAACGTGAATAAGATTTTGTGAATTATCGTATCGACTGTATTCATCTTTTCTACGTCTTGGATTACGCAATTCAGCAAATTCCCGTCACTCACTGCTACTCAATTCCAAAATGCACTTCTTGTGTAGTGGATTACTTATCGGATCCAGTATTACCGCACACACGATTACACAAATTACAATATTCACGCAACGAGCGTTTGCCAGAGAAATTGTTTTTTCCTTTTTGTTTTAACATTTTTCTCTTTTCCTTTATCGCGCAACTATTTCTTCGATAATGAGCTCTTGCACTTTGCCTTTTCAGCTATTATATTTCCGAATATTACATTGCGGACTGCGAGCGCAAGAATCTCTTCTATACTCCCGCATAAATAAAACCGCCAAATAAGTCATTTGCCGTAAAATTAATAATTAACATTCGTTTATTTATAAAATCATTACTAAATCATCATTAAAAGTCGTTATAGCATATTGCAAATATTAAGATATGTTAAGGAATATGTTATAAAACGTATTTAATTATCGAAAAATGGTTATAAAATATGAATTTTTCATTCGTGTTATAATATATTTATGTGAATACTATATTCTTAACAATTGTAGAAGTCGATCGTTTTTTGTTCAAATTTTCATAAACTATTAGTCATCTATTATCAATAATACAATAATGTAAAATAGGTCTAAGAGAAAATTTCATAAATTTTGTCCTTAACGATAAACAACAATGTATCACAAAAATGTAAGTGTAATAACACAAATATAAATGGCATAAATAGCAATAATTATGATGAAATACGAAGCCAATGTATATAATTATTCACATTAATATAATTTGCTTTAGATGCTCTGCTGTTTTCACGCATCCGATTTTATTTTTAACTCATATCAATAAACAATGTTAAATTAATTATTTCTACACTGAAAGTTGAACTTTTCCCCATATCTTCGATAATTGTAGATATTAATTTATTATTCACACGTCCTGTTGATTTGAACACATATAAGTAACTTATGAATTATGAATTTATTATCCACGTGTAGACGTATTCGTTTGACTAACATAAAAGACTATTTATATTATGGGATATATTTAATATACAATTATGTTGGAGAGATTTTGTTACTGGAATATACTGATCTGCATTTATACATAATCAACTTTTTTATTTATATTTATGACGGAGTATTTATCCTAACTTAATTATTTTCATCCTCCATAAATTCTATTAGATTTGACGAATATTATGCAAGTTTGTTTTATATTGCTGATAGATGAGATTAAACGATATCGTAATTGTATTATCTTCGATCATTTATCATATTAGTAAGTTTTATTAGATTCTTATTTTTTACTTTCTACGAACCTAAAAAAATCAATAATCATTTACTTATTATTAGGTATGCTTATATATTATATATATATATATATATATTATTGCTTTTATTTAGCATTAGAATTTTCAAATCGATAATTAGTATACTTAGGCAACTAAAAAATTATTATATTTCTTATCTGTCGATAGAAAAATTATTTATACATATGTGGTCAATATTTTATCTTCGTTATTTATATCTTAAAAATATCAGTTTGAATCAAAATGAAATTGTCATCGCTATAAGAAATAACAATATGTATAAGGAAAAATTTCCATAATCAATCCATTTCATAATTTCATAAATGAAGAAAATAATTACTTCAATATTACCAATTTTGATTTAATTTTATTGAAACGTATTAATTTTTTTATTTTTTAAATTTTTATTTAGTTTACTTAGAATCGCTATGAATACAATTTCCGTAAAATTACTTTTTCTTTCCAGTGTGGTGAGAAAATATATTTGTAATGCACTGATAAATTATGAAATTTATATTTTTATTTTCGAATTATATTATCATTATGTAAATCATAATAATAGAGTATTTACGTTGTCAAATCAAACGACATCTAAACTAATTATTGAAACTTATTCCTAAGAAATATTATTATTATTATTATTTGTAGAATAGATGAACTAAATTAAATACCAAATTAAATAAATGTCCGTCATTAATTAAGATTAAATTATATTATTATATTTAAGATTAAAGTAATGTAGTGCATAAACATTGATCTTTGCAAATTATGAAGGGAAATAATTAATTTAAAGACATAAGATTTATTGATATATTTCAATCATATAAATAGCAGTCTTTAAATATTTAATGAAGCATTAACTTCATAATATAATTTTGGTTTTTAGTGAACTTAGTAACATGCTTATTTACCTATTTTAACTTCTTTTATTTTAACTTATGGCACCTCTACATTAATATATAGTAATATATAGTTCATATTTTACCTGTAAATCCCAAAGTTCTATAAATACACACTAATGAATATTTATTAATAACATACTAGATGTTAAATTGCTTTAACAAAAAATTGCTGAAAGGGGCGTCGGGAGGGGGGGGGAATATTATTTTCAAATTTTGCCATAAATCTCATTATTACTACAGAGAACTGTAAATTAATAATTACTATTAAAAATATTGAATCTAATAAGATTACAATGATATATATATATATATATATATATATATATATATATAACTAAATAACTGTAAGGTATAATATTCTATTAAAAAAAAAAAAAGAGAAAAAAATCAATTATTGTATAATGCATAAGTAACAGACGTAGATTAGTTTTTGTATAAGAAATAAAAAAATTATTTCTACATTTATATTATTTTGGAATTGAATATAACGAAATGACAACAACAACAACAACAACAACAACAACAACAACAATAACAACAACAACAAATATGTATATATTTATAAAGTATATTTAATCTTTGAAAAAAGTATAAAATTTTCAACAATATAAGAAATGTGAAGAAATAATATTTGGATAAAAATTATAATTAAGCGACAAATAATGAATTTATTTACAATGTATAGTTTATCAGAACAATTAAAAAAATTAAATTCAATTAAAATTATTGCATTTATAATAGTAATTAGATATTAGTAACTATTATATACCATAAGCAATGATAATTAATAATAATGGTAAAACGTGATCGCTTCAGGTATCGGTCAATGCTCACATACTTTATCTAAGCTTCGAAGTTTAAATATCTTTGTTTATTTAAGGAAATGAAGAAAAAAAGCAATTGTAATTGTCTTCATAAAAATATTAAAAGTTCCCTAAAAAATATGACTGGCAATGCAAATTTACAAATACTTTTGGAAATGATAAGATATATAATTTCTAATAATAATTTACTTTTATAAATATTCATTTGGAATGCTCGTTATAATGTTAGTGACATAACGGATTAATTACATTTTCTTATATATTGCTTATGAAATTGTTTATCATGAATATATATATATATATATATATATATATATATATATAGCGTAATAATTTTTTTATTAAAATTTGTTTAAAAAGTATAATGTCGCTATTTTATACAACGTTCAATTGAAATTAATTTAAATTTCAATATAGAATGTGAAAAATCATGTCTTTTGAATGAACAATAATTATTCAGCAAATTATATGATTTCGAAAAATATTTATAAATTATAATATCGTGTTATTTAACAGTAAGAAGATTAAAATAAAATGCAACAATATTGAAAATTGAAAAGAGAAGCAGTTTTTTTATATATGATAATTTACCAGAAAATTGGTCATCAATCATCATTGAATTTTGCAAACAATACGCTTATAATTCATTATGATTATCTCAGCAAAAAATAAAACAATTATTTAATCTAATAGAAACGAAAAAAGATTACGACTCTTAATGCAAACGATGATATTATTAATTAATATGATTTGAGAAACTTGTTTGAATTTTGTAATGCACAAGCGTTATTTAAATGGTTATCGGTACAAGACTGCTGGCCAAAGAAGAATTTTGGTTCTAAGCTTTTTGACAAAAACAAAAACAAAAAATAAAAAACAAAATAGTAGCAAAATAGTAACAAAATAGTTTGAAGCATTCTAGATATTATATTTTTGAAAAAGCTGAGAACTAAAATTCGCTCTTTCTCGTAATTATTGATAATTGAATAATACTAATCTTATTATGAAAGTTTGTTCAAGAAAAATTTACCATTCACTTTTAATTAAATTTGAATAACATAATAAAAAAAAACGTGAGCAATACAAAATGAATAATGTAAAACTTTAAATTACCTATCATTGTAATGAAATAACATTTTATTTATTTATTTCAAATTTATACAATTTTTATGTTGTTGTTGTTGTTGTTGTTGTTGTTATTAGACTGATAATATTGCAAGGAATATTTAACGTCAGATGTATATTGTTTGGGAATTTTGTGATGGCACACGAGATGCCGCAGAAAATAAGTTCCGTAAGTGATAAAGAAAATATTAATCTTGAGAATTAATTATGATCTGGATAATCGGTCGAGTCTCCGTGGAGCTTTGATTATAAAATATCGGCGTTGATTGAAAACGATCGGCAATTGTAATTTTACAAATTCCGCGGTACGAGAAAATTATTAAAACTAGGACATTTAACTGTACTCGCAGGATTTTAATAAATACACTTTAATGCTTAAATAAGACATAAAAATACATGTACATATATGTAAATATTAATTATATGTTGGTAGAGGATATAATACAATGATACATTATTAATTAATAAAATATTGTAAAACTGATTATCTTATGAAATTGGCAATGAAACTGGTAATGGAAAAAAAAAGAGTTGAATTAAAATGTTTAAAAAATATAAAACATTTTATTATTTTAATTCACTAATTATACCTATAAATATCTAAATTAATCAAAATAAATAAAATATGAATGTTTATTGTTTATTAACAATGTATCTTTAATTAAATTTCAATACTTTCAATACAATCTTTTTGATTTTATAAAAAATAATTACAAAATTAAGTAATTAGGAATATTAGCAGTTCATCAGAAACTGATATAACCTGTATTTACTTTCTAGCCGTATGATAGTTTTCATTAAACCAATCGACAGTCTCCTTAATCGCTTCTTCAAAAGGTGTGAAAGAAAAGTTTGGCAAGAACTTTCTGAGCTTAGCGTTACTCGCTGTTTTTTTATATTGGCCATCAGCCGCTGTCGTATCATATATAATATTTCCTTTAAAATCAAATGCCTTGGCTAACGCCTCAGCTGCCTGGGCTATCGATACTTCTTCCGACTCATCGACTGTTGGAAATTTTTATTGTTATCAATTATTATTTAACGCAATAGCCATAACTTTGTCTTATAAATAAATATTACCTGATAATATGATTGGTTCCACTGAATTATATTCCCTGAGTACCCATATAATCAGTTTTGCTAAATCTATACTGTATATAAATTGGCGTAGTGGCTTACCAGTCCCTAAAACTGTAAGACTCTTATTTTCTGTACTATCTGTAATGACAAATATATTATGAAATTTCGCGTCTCTAGAATATTAGATATTTATTGAAATTAAAGAGAATTACCATCGTGTAAAAGATCGTACAGCTTTCTCATTAATCCAGGAATAACGTGACTAGCATCTTTTTGAAAATTATCGTGAGGTCCAAACACGTTGCATGGAATTACGCTCGTGTACATTCTACCGTATTGTTTGTAATAGCCTTTATTCTGTATATCGACTAATCTTTTGGCATAACTGTATCCATAATTTGATGGATGCGGTGGTCCATTATGGACCTTCAAAACAAAAATAAAATATTTAATAAATTGCAATTGAATTTTCATTAAATCTCTTACCATTGTCTCGTTTATTGGATACGTTATTTTATCCGGAAAGATGCAAGTAGAAAGACAAGAGACCACTTTTTTAACGTCGTGTTCGTGTGCGGTTTGAAGCACGTTATCATTCATGTGTAGATTGTTACGCTGTTCATTGTATTCAATGTTTATTGGTATTAATAAATGTAATCGATATACTTTGCATTACTTACCAAAAAATCTAAATTATTACTCATATTGTAGTAGAGACCTCCAACCATAGCCGCAAGATGAATAACGTGCGTAGGTTTATATTTATCGAATAATTTACTTACGTTCTGTTTGTCACTGAAAAGTTATATCATTATTATAGCCGCCATAACGAATAATCGATGTTAGGTAGTTGAAACGAACCATAAATCCGCATCTTTTGAATTAACAAAGATCCACTTTTCATTGTCAAGTTTGTCGGTCTTAACGACTGTTTGAATAGCTTGACCAACTAAGCCAGTACCCCCTGTGACTAAAATAATTTTCTGTTCTCCTGGCATCTGCAAAAATAATTGAACAAGTAAATAAAGTTTTATCATAGAGCATAGAGCGTAGAGCAATGAATTGCAATATGTTAAGAAGCAATCGTAGGACAGACAATTAATTATAATACTCATGCCGTCGCGAATACCGCACAAAATAAACAGTTAAGGACATTTTTTAATGAAAAATTAATATGACATTGCCAACATTGCCACTTGTAATAATACATCATTATTTAACGTATTATTTACCGTATGTACTTAACAATAATAACTTTATAATTTTCAAATACATGGTGTAGTTATGTTTATATCAATTTATATCAATAAATATCTTCATACCTTTCATGTAATTGGTAAATTAAAAGCCTTTAATTCTCCTAGAGATACGATAGAAGTTTTTTTTTACATATATATGCCTTAGCCAGTAATATTATAATTCCATATGTAACAATTTGAAAAAAAAAAAAAGAAAAAAAGAAAAAAAAATAAATAAAAGAAAGAAAGAAGATAAATAGATATATAGAGTAAGACTTGTAAGGTAGGGAATTGGAACTTGGGACTGTATTAGGTATATTTAAACTTTTAAACACGTTTGCATTTATACGGTTGGAACTGCAAATTCCTAGGTAATGACATGTAACTGGCTGGTATCTGATTATTTGCCGTAATATCACAAAAGTTTTTTCATTTCTTCGATTTTATGAGCATTACCGATATGTACACTACTGGCCGGAGGAGGAGGGGGAAGGGGAAGGGGAAGGGCGGGGGAGGGGGGGGTCTAATAATAAATGCCATAATTAATTGACAGATCATCGATCGTGAAAAAGTGAATGCACTTGGTTATTAATATTATATTTACGCATTTGGATTATAATTTGCGTTGAAGCGAAGAAAGAAAAGGTCAATTAGCCACGGTTTAATATATTATACCGCGGATTTTGAATTTCAAGTCGTATATTATTTCATTTATTCAATCGCTTACGTGTGAACTGGTCGTTTAAAAATAATAAATAAATTAGGTTTTTAGGCAATATTTATTATATTCTCTGTTTGTTCGTACTGCAAAGATTGATATCTCCTCCATTAACAAATCCCATGAATTACTTATACATAATTTATAATGCTTTATTAATATACAATTTATGCGTGTTCATTTAACTATTAACAAACATATTTTTTTTATAATTTTTAACTCCCAGAACCTTAATATAATTTAAACATGTTTTTAAAAGTTTATTTTACAACACTTTGGACAATTAATTATTGGTAATTTGAAAGCAAGTAGCCATGTATTTCAAAATATAACATAAATTTCAGAAAGTCTTAAGGGAATAACTTTAAACGATACATTGATAAAATTATATAATATATTTTACACTGCTTTTACAAATATTTCCTTCATCGATGGTATCTTTCCTATTTATAATAATATTTAAAATAAATAATATTTTCAATCACAATTTAACATTGTGGCTAACGAAGAAATATCCTACCAGCGTAATAATTTAATAACTATTCCTTTTTCATTTGCATGATTTATTCATTTCCATATTCTTGAATATAATCAATGACAATAATTATTTAATCGATGCTTTTGGGAAATTCAGGTAATTCTAATATAACCGAGGCTCCTGCCATTTTACTTCCGTAATGACCTGACCAATAACGTGTATCTTGTCCACCATGAATAAATTTAATGCTTCGCAATCCTTTACCATAATCTCTAAATTCATGTTCAAACTGTAATAAAAGAATTAATTTTCTTACAGAACTTTGTTTAATATTCTTGCTTTTAAGTCAATATTAATTACTTTGAACCATTTGTTTTGGTCTCCATGCTCCAAGAGCTTCTTATAATTGTAAGAAGCAAACAGTTCTTCGGAATCAAGCTTTTCTTTTAATAATTGTACCGTACAGTTATATACAGCCGGACAGTCCCATCGACAGCTATAATACTCACTTACCTACAAAAAAATAAACGAGGAGTTTTAATTTATCTTAAAATTACATTATTGCAATTAAAAATATTATTATCAATAATATTGTGATAAAAAATGTCATTATCTTGTGAAGGTATTCAACAGCATCTCTAATGTTATACTTTATTCTTATAATTTTGTTTTTAACATTAATATATTCAACAATTGGAATATTAAATTTATAATGAACTATTATTAATAATATATTAAATAGATATCATTAACTTAAAAATCAACGTTACCGTTCAACGTAATACCTTTATTATAGGTTGTAAATTATCTAACAAATACTTTGAAAATCCTTGTTCTATCAAATTTATAACTTGAACTTTTAAACATTTGTTATAAGAAGTAACGAAGCATGCATTTTCTCCATTAAATATTGGATCTTCGGGCAGCGGTGGTACGCCTATAGGTGGACATTCGACTGCCCAACCATTGCCACCAAAATTCAAAATTGTCCAATTATTAGGGAACAATGTAGTTATATTATTTATTATCAAATTTTTATAAAAAGGCTTCTTGTCACAAATAAAGTAATACTTAGCCCACATTGTACTTTCATCTACAGGTAATGCATGACCTAATGTTATTTCAGCCTTTTTACGCCAAACATAACTTTTAATAAGAAAATTCCAACGTTTACAAACTATTTGACAGCTAACTAAGGTTTTATGATCAATGTAGCAAAGTATTGTGGATAATAATTCTTCAGGAATATATTTATCATTGACTATTAGTCCATTATTGCATGTTTCATCATATGTAATACGGTTTTCTGATATTGTCATATTCCTTAATTTATCAGGAAACTGTTCCATATTGTTTACAAATAGATAATAAAAAAAAAAAAAAAAAAAAAAAAAAAAAAAAAAAAACGATTAACTAACCTTGAAGCAGAATGTAGTAACTAATATTCCTCTGTCGTTTGCTTAGATTATGACTACGAAAGTGAGAAATTAAAATGATTACAATAAAGAAAGAATTATAGAATAAATCTTATGACAAAGTTTTTTCAAACCATTGCCAATAAATTACCTTTACAACTATTTCTTTTTAATAGGAATGATAAAGTACGCATCAATTATTATGAACGCTCTTGGATAGTTCAATATAATAATTATATTAATGTATCCCTCACGTCTACATTATTCAGCATAATTATTATTTAATATGAATATTGATCAATGATAATATTTATTATTTGATTTATAAAACAAATAAATGCAGCAGGATAATATGTCTAATTTTTCATTAGTTAATCAACTGGATTTGCTTAGTTATCTTTTTCATTGTGATTATAATTATTTCATAAATTAAGAAATTGACGAGAAAAGAAATGTCAATCGACTTCTCTTTACATTTTATCTCAATTCACCACTTTTAAATCCTTACTCTTACTACACCACATAACATTTTAATAAATTAGGTAAAACTAAAAGCGTTACAAGTCTATTAAAGAATTTCGAACTTGGGAATTATGTGATAAAATTCCACCATATTTAAAACAAACATTCTGCGTAATTGCAAAAATAAAAAACGATATCTTAATATCGCATCTCTTCGATGTAAATTATTTTTTAAATTTAAGTGCAAAATAATTTTTATAAACCGTCTAATAAAAATTATTTTTTTTTTTTTTTTTAATTTAAATGTCGTAACATTGGCATTTACCTATAATGTCAATATGCTATTATTTATTATGTCATTTGATTTAGTAAAAATATTTAAGATACTTAAAATAATTATACGCAAATATATATATATATATATATATATATATATATATATATATATGTATATTACAAATATAAATAATGAACTCTAATTTTCTAATATTTCATCTAAAATTTCCCATCAAAACTGTCTTGTTATTATTTAATCATAAATATTTTACTAAATATTAAATTTTTTTTTAAAATAATATCTCGATCGCTCCAGTAAATACATTTATTTCAAACCTTTTCGTCCATTTTTCATACCCTATAGTTCTTTTTACTATGTTTATTCAATTATTAAACATACTGTTCGTAATGTTTGGCAACAGGTTTTACGTTGCATGCAAACTTTAAATTCCAATTGATTAATTCATTATCGTTAGCATTTGCTGGATTTACTCTCTGCTCAATATTAAAACTTTTTAAAAAATTATACATTAAGATCTTGAAGATTTTACTGACTTCAAATATATCGAATACAATAAAATGGAATTTTCGAAGGGAATATATAAGCTTACAGAGCTTTGATTAAAGCTCATGGCGCAGTGTAAAATAAAATTTATAGCTTAGAGAAATTAGAACGATTAAGGGGGAAAAAAAAAAAATTCTACATTCAGTCTTTTTCTAATAAACGTAAATTATTCTTTATATTTATTTCCATTAATGAGACAGCGTTATTTAAAATTTCTATTCCTTCATTCAAATCACAAGCGTAGTTTATTTATAAATTTGCATTGGTGTATTAAAATTTTACTAATTTTTTACATTTTGTTTTTCTTATACCTTGTGATCTCTAGGTTTATAATGCCAATTTTATATTATTGAAGAAAACTATTATTCCAAGTATTTAGCTGAAACTTTAGTATTGCAATTAATAAGCGATATTTTAGACTTAACAGTCAATCACTAATAAATAGATTTATTACAGTTTATCAATAATAAAACTGAATAGAAACATTAAAAAAACAATAATAAACATCAAAAGCAAAAGGACGTAAAATTATTCATTGTGATAAGTAACTATGAATACCTTTTGATATTTAATTAGAACGCGATTTCTCTTATATTTTATGAACATTCTTTAAATAACAAATTTAAAAGCTCTTCGAACATTACCTTTAAAAATTTAAAAAAAAAAAAAAAAAAAAAAAAAAAAAAAAAAAAAAAAAAAAAAAAGAAGTAGGCAAATAAATAAATGAATCGTAAAAAAAAACTTTCCTTTTACTCTTTTATAAACACAATTAAGAGTGTCATATTGCAGGTTCGAGAATGAAAGTTTCATGAAATTTCTTATACGTCCTATAAATAAAATCACAGGTTCCTCTAAAATCGATAATCGTCCAGTAAAAGGAACAACTAAGGTTACTAGAAATCTTGATAGAATGGTCATTAGAAATCGACGTATTGTACTTTGTTTGGTGATCAACCGTTTTCTTCCAACTGTAAATCAGTCAATATTATTGTATTTACGACAATAAATAAACTGTCGTATTATTTGTTGCTATTCATGGATTTCATGGATTTATGCTTAGACTGAAAGTAACTAAATGTCAAATTTGCGCAAACATCTGCATGCGAATGCAAACGTCTTCATTAATACAATAATTATTAGTAATAATTCAATGTAATTGTAAATAAGTAAATTTACACATTATCCAATAACCTACAAAACGTCAAAAATCATGATGAAAACAAATAAGGTATAATATAGCGAAACATTATAAAAGTTAATGAAAATGATAATTCGGCCGTCTATTCGTAAGATTTATAACCTATTAACTACATAGGTTTCTATTCTTTTCATTAATAAATGTCAAATTAACTAGTTTGATTTTCAGGTAAAGAAACTCAAAGTAAATTTTGCCGAAGAGCAACACGAAAAATCCTTAAATTATTATGAAAAAAATAAAATAACTTATGACGAAATAAGTAGTAACGGTTCAATAATTGAAAATAAAAGCATTCCTGATGAATTATTATCGAAAATACTTTGTGGTACCGATCATAAGGCATTACTTATTTGTCAATTAGTTTGTAAGCATTGGCATTATCTCATTCGTAGCTATGTTTGGCATAAAAAAGCAGAACTTACAATAGGTAAAGCCTTACCTATTAGCGAAAAAATACCCTGGACAATATATTACTTTATTTGTGATAAGAAGCCATTTTACAAAAATTTAATAAAAAACCATTCCGGTGAGGATGGATTTAGCGCATATTGGGGTATAATTGAAAATGGAGGTCACGGCTGGAATGTAGAGCGTCCTCCTACAGCTGTTAAGCCATTACCGGATGATCCAGTTTTTGAAAATAAAAATTATTGTTTTGTCACTTCATTTAGCAAATGCTGGAAAGAACAAGTAATTAATTTGATAGATGAAGGATTTTCTGAATATTTGTTAGATTATTTACAACCGACAATAAAGGTATTGATATAATAATGATAAAAAAAAACTTGTAATTGTCTTGTATAAAAGATATAAATTTATAAAACAAATAAGCTTCAATATATATATATATATGTAACTATTAATAGTATTTTGTTTTAAAATTACATTAAATTTTTTTAATATAGATGGTAATAATGTGCATTAATAAATAGTTTTATCCATAATTTATCTGAAACGTATTGTCGCTGCTTATCGATCTTTTTATAAATCACTTATAAATTATTTACAATTTCAAAAGGATTTTAAATAAATAAATATGTAAATGATACTATTGCAATCTTTAATTTTATTACAGGTAAGCGAATGGTTTTGCTGTCGACCCAATGTTCCAGCGGTTTACGAATGTACAATTAAATTACTTCGCGAACAGAAATCCGATAGAACAGCCATAGAAGCCTTAAGTTATAGCAAAATTTTAGAAGGAGAACAGATGAATCAATGGTTTCAAGTTAGTAGTAATTATTACACAATAGAACTATAATTAATGGTATAAATAATTATTAAAATATTTTTATCGCTGACAGTTTACGCATGAATTTAAAAACTATGGGAAAGGACTGAGGAAAATAAAATTTTGTCATGGTGGTCAAGACAGGTCTTATGTAGTTGGTAATTGCGGAAGTAAAATGGCTGGAGCTTGTGTTCAATTGGAAATAAGAACTTAATTTAGGCAAATTCTACAAAATATACACTTTTATTATCTATAATAAAGCATAGTACAAAATGAGAATTGGGCAAAGATACTTTTTCTCGGTATTTAATTGCTCAAATAAGCGGTATATATATTTAAAGTTTTTGATTATTAAATAAAATTTTTTTATCCGAAATAAATGTTCAAATATCTATTTCATACAAAAAAATCTAGTCTTACAACCATTTAAAGGCAGAAATTTTATATCTGTGTATAAAAGAAATGCTTAACTAAATTTTTATATAACGTTTTTGTCAATTTAAAAAATTAAAATAAGACCAACTGTGATAAATTAGTTTTTTTATTTTTTTATATTTTTTGCTAGGTATTTCTTCTTTTTAAGTTTTAAAGTTTCATATTGCACACAAAATACATATGATTGTTTTGTATGAACGATTTCAATAAAAAATCAACTTTTCTATTGCATTTATTTCTTTGTAATATGTTACGAAATAAAACTATGTAAAGCTATAAATGTATTACACATTATTCATCGAATAATTAAATTAATTTAACCTATCGTTCTTATTTTCCTTCTTGATTTGTAAAATAACGACGATATAGATTCAATTATCTAAATAAATCATTGCATATAATAAAAAAGACTTACGAATTAATTAGATACTTTTATTCTTTCTACATGTTAAAAGATTCATAGTAATATTTTAACTTTTAATGTACGACATATTAATCTACATATTAATTTTCGGTAAACATTCTCTAAGAATTATAATAAAACTGTAAACACGTATTTTTTATTTTTTATATTTAATCGATTAAATTAAATGTTTAAAAACAATGTAAATATCAAAATTAAATTTGTAATTTTATAAGTATTTAAATAATTTTAAATATCAAAAATAATTATATAATTATGTGTAAATAATTTTTTAAATACACATGCATGCTATCGTGTGCGTGCATATATATATATATATATATATATATATATATATATATATATGTACATACATACACACCTAAGAATTTTATTTTATGCAATGCTCAAGTAATTTTATTACATTAATGTAATAGTGTAGTACGTCAAGAAAAACTAATAATCCATTAATTTTATTACAACTATGTAAAGACTCTTAATTTACATTTAAAAATCACATTTTAAAAACTTATTATGTAAAATTTTATTCAAAATAAAATCAATCGTTATATTAATCATCAATTAATCAGTTCTAGAATTTATATTTTATTAACATATCATACTACACTTTTATGATTTACAACTATTAATTTATTACCTTCTAAGATGACATTAGACATTTGTAATAATATATGCTTATTGCATATTGTTATAAATATTACTATTGTCTATAGTATGTCTATAGTAATTATAATATTGATTTCTATCAAATAAATTTATGAAAGTTATTTAGCTTTTATTACCTTTATATACTTGTATAGAGTAAATTCAGATAGAAATTTTTTGTTTGTCTGTAGTTATTAAAAATAAAGTAAATATATGTATTCCCGTTGCGAATGAAATTTAAGCTTTTTTTATTACTAATTTATATAAACTGTTTAGAAATGTGTGTTAAATCATAAATTTAAATGTTGAAAAATTAATTCTCATCCTTTTACAACAATGCCCCATCAATAAATGGATTAATAACAAAATTTATTTTCCAAGCGTTGTAATTCTTTCAATAACGTTAATTGTCAAGGGATAATCTAATAATTATATTTAAAACAAATCGGAATAAACCACGTATATATTATATAACTGTTAAAAGTTACTTAAAATAAGATCTTTTTTTATAAATATTTTAGTTCATTTTAATACTGCTATACATATATTACATATATAATTGTTCAAGTTGCTATGTTTTTTTTAATTCTATATTTACTATTGAGAATAATCACTGTTTTTGTAACGAGCGAGGTTTTATCATAAAATCATTTTTTCTTTTTTAAGTAATGAAAAAGTAAAAGTACTTATATAAATAAAATATACAACATAATTTACAGACTAAAATCAGTAAACTGATATTTGATATAAAAGCCTATCTCGATTAAAGTATTATATGGCACAGAATGTTAAACAATCAAGTATAATTAAATTAATCTATTTTGTGCATTATTACTTTTATGGATACATGTAAAGGCATTCTTGACAGCAGATTTGACACTACAAAGTATATAAATTGTTTATTGTGCTCAAATAATATCTAAAATATATTTTGAACTCGTAATCAATAATGTATATAATTCCTTGTATGCATTACATACTTACAAACATTTAGTTTACATTTAATAATTTTACTGCCGATATCTGTATGTATACTTTTTCTCACGTCTACAAACAAAAAATGGAAGCTCGTTAATATTTTCAAAAAATTAATTACCTTTCGATATATTACAAAACATATTAAACAAAATTTTATTTATAAACTTTTTCATACTTGGAAAAATTTCAATTTATAATTAATCCGATAATATCGTCATTGATTAATGATGTAGCGTAGCAACTTTACAATATTGTTAATAAATATTTTATATCTTGTTAATTTTTTATTACATTTTCACTTTCCGTTAGAGTTTTATCCTACTTTTACACAACTGCTTCTTCATTCTATCATGTATATATCATATATCATATATCATATATCATATATCATATATCATATATCATATATATATATATATATATATATAGGACATAAGCTATCAATAAATCAGCACACATCATTTACGACTTTTCTAAATTTACAAATACTTTCTTAATGTCTATATTTTATAACGATAGATAAGTTATGACCTCGGGAAATGGCTCTTATATAAATCAATAGGTATAAGGAATCGGCCATTTCGATAAACAAACGTAATTGTGAGCCATTCGCAACGATTCGTAAAGTTCCCTCTTGATTATTTCTTTTAATTGACACTGCATGTGGCAAGAGATGAGCTGCTGTTAAATTAAAGCGAATCCGTTTCTTCGTTTAACGCTCATTCAAACCGCTCATTTTGGCCTTTTTGTTATATGGAGATGTTGGGAGTAAAATTCATTGAAAATCCGAGATAATTTTGCCAATATATTAACGAGTTCTTATAAATTTGATCATTGTGAAACACGGAGCAAACGGACTAAGAGCCAGATTTAGCGAAAGTGTCTTCAGTTTTTGTTTCAATAACTCTAGAGATGAAGGATACTTTATTATTATTTATTTTTTTTTTTTTTTTTTTCGAGCCTTTCGTCGTTTTTCCTGCTTAAAAGTGCAATGTGTTCGGATTCCAGTAATATTGACAAGTTTTGTGTTCTAACTATTGACGAATTAATCATTTCGAGAATTCAAATATTAATGTTCGTACATCTATTGGAGGAGATTGAGGTGAAGAGAAAGAGTATACATAAGTAATAAGTCAATATATTATTTACAATTTAGTTACTGTTGATGACTGGATAAATTCACAGATTCATTTCGATTGCACGAGATGGCAGTGATCACGATAATATACTCGCGAACAGAAAATGCATCAAAGCTTTTCAAAAATGCATATATCTGAATCTACTAATTAATGCGAATCTTTACTTTTTTCATGGATTTCTCGATTTTGTTTTACGCATTCTCTACCGCTCTCTTTCTTTCTCTCTCTCTCTCTCTGTATATATATACATACATACATACATATATATATATATATATACATATATATATATATATATATATATATATAGTGCTCCGCGCGCGTGTTTGTACGTGTAATAAATTGAGTCGACCTTTTTTTTTTTTTTTTTTTTTTTTTTTTTTTTTTTTT